AGTGCTTTAATAGCCGCCTTTATTGTCATTCTCCGGCTTCCCTGCCTCCCTCTCTTACCTTGTCAATAAAAATAACCCGGCTCAATAAAGCTGCTCGCCTTCCTCCAGCGCCGCTCTGGCGTTTAGAGCGGCCCAGCGCCGGTTCACGCGGCAGTTTTACGGCGCGCTGGCTCCGAGCGCTCGGCCGTGCCCCAGGAGAGCTCCCCTTTTTCCCTCTCCGCCTCGGCGTGCTCCTGTAGCCTGAAGAGCATCTTTGCTTTCTCTAGTCTGACCTGCGATCTCAAGTCAAAAACAACCAACCCGACAAACAAACTTGTTTTTCGTTGTCAGAGGACAAAGAGGGAGGGAGGGGGAAAAAAAAAATCTTAAGTTCTTCATTTCTCTTTGTCTTTCTTCTTGCTCTTTCGCTGGCTGCTCAGCTCGTTAAGCTTTTTGTCCAGGCGCCTCTGCAGATGGGCTCTCTTGGCTGGGTCCAGGGCCTTGTCCTTGGCGCCGCCGCCGGCGTAGAGCACCCCTTCCCTGCTGAGCCTCTGCCGCGCGTGGCCCTTGGCCTTCTCCCCGCACCCGTGAACCTGCCGGAGAGAGAAGGGACAGCGGCGTCGGGCGCGAAACGGGGCTGAGCAGCAGCCCTCGCTTAGGTGGGAATAAGCCGAATAAGGTGGGAATAAGCCTGGGAATAAGTAGGCCCAGAGCCTGGAGCTCCTCCTTACCCGTTCCTGAGCAGCCGTCTGCTTTGCGCCCCGTTGAAAACATCTGCTAATTTACAGTTCCTCTACCAGGAAACAAAACACCGAGGTACCTTCTTTCCTCGCAAGAAGGTACGTAGCATATAACTCGTCCCTTTCGGACGGTTTAAGTGGCTCCTTCCCAAAAGTTGAAACGTTTGGGAGGCACCTGCGCTATTCGAGGTAACAGCTGGATCGCCTACGACTGAGCAAGAGAGCTGCAAACGGGTCTGAGCTCCCGTTTCCTGACGCCCTCGGTTAGTACAGCGTCGTGCTACGACGCTGGAGAAAAAAGGAGCGAAACAGCAAAGACCCTTTCAGCTGCCTCTTTCGCGTACTCAGGGCCGTCTGCCGTACGGGAACAGGAGAAGCTCCGCGCTTTTAATTCTGCGCGGGACGACCTTTTCCAAGACCAGGCTGCGCTGAAGCACAGGCTCTTTTCAAGGCCGTCCCATCTTTTTAATTTCCTCCACTCGGAGGATTTCACAATCGTTTGCCAAGGCAAGGACGACACCCTCTTAAATCCCCTCGCCCAGGTTTCAGTTAGGGATCTTGCCAAGCGTGTCCCTTCCGGTCAGTCCATCCCAAGCTCATCCGACGTTTTTCCCTGACCCAGGCAGCTCTGAGGATCACGGACGGTTGTTTCAGTGACATGATAAAACATGACTGTTCCTGTTAGTGTCGCTGGAGCGGTTTGCAAACGCTAGAAAATAGCTGGGCCCGGTGCTGGGCGCAGAGGTCTTAGCCAGAACTGGGGTTTCTGAGCCTACCTCGAAAGCAGCAGGAGCTGTTCCAGCTCCTTCCAGAGCCGCTTTGGGAAAAAAAAAACAAAACCAAAATAAATAGGCAATTCGGAAAGCGCTGAAGCACAAGTTAAAACAGCGTTCGACGGGGCTTGCGGGGGCTGAACGGGACGGGAAGGGGCTCAGCAGCCAGGCGCTGCTCGAGGGCTGCAGCAGCGCTTGCCCAACGCGGCCCTTCGGCAGGCGGAGGCTCCGGCCCCTCCGAAAGGGGTTTCCGTGCGTGTGTGTGTGTGCGTGTGTGCGCTTCCCCCCTCCTCGGGTTGGGGGGGGTGTCAAGGTGGGGAGGAGCTCGCAGGCTGTTCCCCCTGCCTTGATGTCAAGGGCTGAGATTGAAAAAGCAAGTTTAAAAACAAACAAACAAAAAAAAAACCAAAACAACCCTGCCGGAAGCGGGTATCGCCTCCTTTCCTACGGTTTCCCGCGGGAATCCTCGCCGCAGTTCACCGGGGAGAGGCGACGCTGCAGGAACTAAACGTGCATCCCGACTGGCTCGCGAACCACCGTAACCCGCAACCGTTCTTTGCCATGGAAACACGTAGCGCTTGACGAGGGGAAAACCTACGCTGAGGATTTATAGGGCCGGCTCGCTCAACATCAGACGAGAGTGAGGAGGCCTCGCAGGAGTTAAAGCTGAGGTTTTTCCCCCGGCCTGGCTGTGCAGACGAGCAGCTGGCTAAGAGCAGCCAGGGAGAAGAAGCTGGCGCAACGGCCCGGCCCAACGCTATGCCGCGGATGCTGCGGGGCTGCTCGCGCTGCTCGAGGGTCCTGCCCGGCGAGAGCGCGGGAGGCTGAGCGCCTGCCGGGGGGGG